CAAAATTCATAATATTCCTATCATTTGGGTAAAGGTCTCAAAGTACAGTTGATTCTCATTATTCGCAGCAGTTCTGTTCTATCAAGTAGCCATGAACACTGAATTAGCTAATACTTATTTTGTTCCTGGAGCAAATACAGGGTTAGGTTCCTGTGAGCCCTCGGCCACAACATTTTCCTCAACTGAGCAATACATAACCTTGTTTTATATGTGTTTCTGTTGAAAGATACCTCATACGACATACGTTGTCAATTCATTAACACTGAACTCACGGTTAACAGCGCTAAAAACTCAAGCCCGAACGAAACTTAACACACGTTATTTTTCTCCGTGAGGCACATCACAGCCTTTTTGTGCCAAGGGACACCAGACAGTACTTCAGTACTATGCTTAGGAGCCATTTTAAACAGTGAAATCACCAAAAAAGGCATTAAAATGCAAAAAGAAGTGGCAGTAAATGTACTGTGAAGATGACACTGTTCACAGCATGAGAGCTGAAACTAGAAGGCAAAAGCATCTCCTTGTTTGACCTCATCTGGGAACTACACATCAGGCAACTCAAACTTTGCACACTGTGCGTGTCCACAAATGATCACGAAAGTGCTGTGAGTACTGATTTGGGGGTTACCAGTAAATTTTAGTAAATAGGCAACTTCTCAAATACAGAATCCATGAACTAAGAGGATCACCTGTGCCTCCTTGCAATATCAAAGGCTGCGCGCATCTCACTTTGCAGGATTCAGTGCCCAGGTCCATGTTTTCCTTCCTCATACCCTTCCTCAATCACCAGGGCTGCTGCTAGCCACCGGGGGTGCCCTTTTGCAAATTAGAAAAAGGTACCCCTTCTTCTGCACATACGCAGACCCAAACCAGAATGCACCACTTGGTGAGTGGGGGATGAGCCAGATCTTAGCTCTGGTCCACCCTCTCAGCCAAGTACCTTGCACAGGGCACAACTGCTAACAAAATATGACCAGCTCTATCAATCATATCCCTTCTTGGATTTTTCTTTGCTTTTCAGCTGAAACTTTTTTTTCCCCTAGAGACAGGGTCTCACTCTGTTGCCCAGCCTAGAGTGCAGTGGCATGATCATAGTTCACTGTAACCTCAAATTCCTGAGCTCAAGAGATCCTCCCACTTCAGCCTCCTGAGTAGCTAGGACTATAGGCATGCGCCACCATGCCCGGCTAATTTTTTTATTTTTTGTAGAGACAGGGTCTCATTATGTTGCCCAGGCTGGTCTTGAACTCCTGGCCTCAAGCAGTCCACCTGCCTTGGCCTCCCACAGGGCTGGGATTACAGACATGAGCCACTGTGGCTGAAACATTTGAGTCTTTTAAATCTCTCCTCATTGGGGCAGAAATGGAGAGCCAGAATAAGATCAAAGTTAGAATGTGAGAAATAGCGGTGGCCTGAGATGGAGAGCTGAGAGGAATGGGGAGGGGGCAAAGAACAGCCTGGCCATCTGCCCAGTGTGGTGGCTCTGACCTGAAGCTGATAGGCCAGGTCAGCCTGTGCTCGGCGGGTGTTGACCTCGATGTCATATGCAGCCTTCTTCAGCTCGTAATCCCTCTGTGCCTTGGCCATCTCGATCTCACTCAGGTACTGAGCAGACACCTTTTCCTGCTTGGCTTTAGCCTCCTGCCCAAGCAGAGACCAGGTAGGAAGCATCAAAGTGGGCAGAGGAAGGCCACAGTGAGAGCTTGCTCTGTTTCCCCTGCCCAGCCAGCTCCTCCAGCCCCTACTCAGTGGTGCCCTCCTCTCCCCTTTCCCACCAAGCCACCCTGTCTCTCTCACCCTGATCCCAGCATCTCGCTTGGCCTCTGCTTCCCCAATCCGAGCATCTTTTTGGACTTGAGCTGTTCGAGCCTTCCCCAAAGAGTGCAGATAGTCCTGTGGGAGAGGTGCAGAAATCAGAGTCCGCAGGAGGGTTTAAGCTATGGGAGCAAGGAAGCAGAAAGCAGGAGGGATCAACTGCCTAGTTTTTACCTGGTCATCGTGAATGTCCTTCAGGGTGTAGCTAACCACGCTGATGCCCATGTTGACCAGGTCTGAGGAGGCCACTTTGAAAACTTGTTCTGAGAATTTCTGCCTGTCCTTATAGATCTCCTATGATAACAGGATGGTGGGAAGAAGGAACTTGAGCTCTCAGATCCACTGTCTCTCACAGACTAGCTTGGTCCTTAGGTTCCCCTCATCCTGGCATCCCTTCCAGATTTTTCCGTGCCCCCAGGCCCACCTCCACAGTCATGTGGGCCATGATAGCCCTCTGGTGGCCCTCCAGTGTCTCCAGTGCAATATGGGCAATCTCAGCCTCTGTCTTCCCCAGGAACATTTGGCAGGCGGCCGCCAACATCTCCTTGTTCTGGCCTTGGATTTTTACCTGTAGCCAGAGTAGGGGTAGGGAGGTGTGGTGGAGGTCTCATGAAACCAGAGAAGCAGCAGGAGAGAAAGGAGGAATCAAGTGACTGGAGGGTGCCTGGAGAAGGTGAGACCAGCGGAGAAATTTCTCTGCAGGCAGGGACTGAGAGGGCCATCGTCAGAAGATGTCTTAATGTCTGGCGGAGAAGGTGATGGGGAGTGCACTTTGGGGGAAAGGCTCTGAGAGCCTCACCTGGGCAATGCCAGTGACTGAGATGGGGACCCCATGGCGAGTGTAAACCTTTTCACTCTTGACATTGAGGGTCAGTGTGTTGAGAGAGATCCTAAGGGAAAAAGAAGGGACAGATAGTAAGAAAAAGAGAAAACTGAGGCTCCCCCTCCCTGGTTCTCTTCCTACCTACCTCTGGATTTGCTGAATGCAGGGCAGGACAAAGACACGTCCTCCAGCCACCATGACTGGGGGGCTGCGGCAGAAACCTGCAAGGTGAAGGGCAGTGAGCAGCCCTGGTAGAACCGGCACGTGGAAGACTGAGGAACTGGGGGGTGGGGACAATCCACAGCAGAGAAACTGGGAGCAGGGGGGGAAGCAGTCTGGGCCTTGGCAGGGTAGTGGCTGGGAATCCCAGGTGGGTGGCTTGCGGCCACCAGGGGCAGAAGCTTGGCGCTGGGGAGCTGGTAGGGAGAGGAAGAAGGGGCAGAGGCCAGACTCACAGAGGTTTGGGGGTCCCTGGCTGGGAAGAGAACAATACTTACCGGAGACCACCATGGCCTCATTCGGGCCACAGGTGAAAAACATGGTTCAGGCTGGAGCTGCAGGAGGAGGAGAGAAAGCCTTGGCAGATGGGGAAGGGGCGCTACGGCGTCCACAGGAGCGAATCCTTCCTTGCCCTTTCCCGTTAGGCTTCCGGAGTCTGCATCTGCCGCGGCGCAGGCCCTTCGGCACACACGGGTCCGCTGAAGCTTTTCCCTGTGAAATCCCGAAGATCCCCAGCGACCCCCTCCCCTGCCTGCTTACGGCCGATCCCCTCCCCTCGCCGCGTCTCCGCCTCAGTGCAGACGGTTTCCCCTTTATATGATAAAGCTCCAGGCCGGAGGCTGCAGCTCTTTCCCCACCCTCCGCAGCCGCAGGCTCCATCTCCCTTCCCCCACTCACCTTCCCGGACGCGGGCGGCGGCGGGGCCGGGGTCTCGGGAAGGGCGGGGGTGCGCAGGGACCTGGAAGCCGAGTAGGGGCGGCTCGCGGACCAGCCTTCCTGGAAGCTGGGCGGGTGCCCGCGCCCCGCTACCCGGCCGCACCCTGTTGCTGCGGCAGACACGCCCCCGCCCCCGCCCCCGCGACCGACCAACCTCCCCCGGGCCGCGGCTCAGCCCGCCCCCTTCCCGGCAGGCCCCGCTCGGGTCCGCAGGCCACCAGCTCCCCGGAAGCTCCGGGTGCCTGGCGAGCCCCGGAGGAGCTCGTTCCTCTGCTGCCCTCACCGCCGCCCTTCCTGAGCCGGGGGTGTCGCGCAGGCCGCTCCGTGCTCCGCCCCCGGGCGCGGGACGTGACCTCCGTGGGCCTGGCACCCGGGCTGAGGGAGATTGCCACATTTCGGGTTCGCCGCGGCGTAACTAACCCGGAAAACCGCAGACCGGGCAATGCACTACTACATCCGGCAAGCGGATGCTGGGTCCCGTGACTCTGGTAAAGGGGTGACTCTGGTAAAGGGGTGACTCTGGTAAAGGGGTGACTCTGGTAAATGGGTGACTCTGGTAAAGGGGCTCCGCTGCCCGGGAGGAGCGCGGGCTGGGGACTTAGCCACACCTCGTCCCGCCGGTTCCTGGCGCCTGAAGGCAGGGAGGAGAGGGGAGTCGCCGCTTGCAAAGATACACTCAAATGACTGCTGACAGTAAATCGAGTTTATTTGTGTTCACAGAACATACTGGGGGACCCATACAGCCGCCCCGTGACAACCCGCCAACCCCCAACCCCGAAGCCGCCCCTCAGGGGCAACTCTGAGGAGGTCGAAGGCCAGGGTCTTACTCCCAACGTTCCGCAGAAGCCTCACACAGTAGACCCACGGAGTTGAGATGCCGGAGGACGGAGAGTGTCACCCCCTAAACCTAAGACCCACCACCAGACTTGACTCCCAGCCCAGGCGTCCTCCCCTACCCGGGTGCTCCCCATTTCTCCTCCCACTCAGCCTCAATTGCAGGCGCTCCGCCTCCACCAATCCCTTAAAGCTCAATAAATACCAAGAGATTTGCAGTTACAGCAGGGGGGAACATCTCGCACCCTTGCATAAGTTAAAATAAATATTACGTACTACCCTCCATCACCTAGGAGGACATACATAAATACATATAAATATTAATTAGGAGCAATGAGAAATAAATTAACGACGCCCTCCTTCCCACCGGGCCTTCGCCACGGCGAGTCTGTGCCCGGTGAGCCGCGGTCTCGCTCCAGGCACCGGCTGGCGTCTCCACTGTAGTGTTCTGAGTTTGAGTTGCCTCTTAAGTCCCAGTTTGGGATACGCTCTCGCGCACCAGGTACGCCTGGTGTTTCTTCGGTTTTTCGGGTTCTTCTGGGGGGTGTGCGGAGTCAAGGTTAGAAGGCGGCCGGATGTTGTTGGAGAAAAGTGCTGAGGTCCAGGGCGTAGTCCGAAGGCTCTGAGGTCAGATTAAGGGGCTCAAGGACCGGGGGCGCAGAGGTGGGCGCCGGGGACGCGGCGCTGGGGGCGTCCTCCGGGGCCAGGGGCGCCGGCACACCTTCTTCAGCCATCAGGATCTGGCAGAAGATGATGGTGAGGAGCAGAAAGAGGAGCCTTTTGGCAGGGTTCCCTTCCTCGACTGGCACCTGTCGCCGGACCTAAGGAGAGACAAAAAAGGAGACAGGTCAGGTCAAGGCCCCCGGAGTCCGGTCGTTTCCTCGCGGCGCCAGGACTGCTTGTCCCTCCGCCCCCCGCTGCTCACTTCGGCGACACTCACCACTCGAGGGTAGAGGACCCTACGGCTGCGTCTTCGGTGCCCGCGAGAGGCGCTGGGGCGCGCGGCGGGGGCCGCTGCGGGTTCCGGGAGAGGGTCGAAGGTGAAGATCTCAGGACCGGAGCCCCGCCGGGGTCCCGGGCTGGTGGAGGGGACCGGGGTCGGGGCCCGCAGGACAGTCATGGTGGGCAGGGAGCTGCGAGAGTGACACATGGCGCGCTGAGCAGAGCGTATGGCGGAGTGTGGACCAGCGCCGGCAGAGCTAGTTAAATATGCCAGAGAATTGGGCGGGCTCTTCTAACTCCGCCTCCCACAGCTGGGGAGCTGTTGGCCGCAGCCGGCTGGAAATTCCGACGTTTAAACAAAGGGAGCGGGTGGAGACTTGGCCTGTGCAACCCTCCGCCCAACTGCACGTTGTGTGTGAGTCGTGAGTGGGGGTGGGTGAGATCCGGGGCCACAGGCACATGTTGGGGCATGTGGCAGCTGGAGAGGGGCCCATGACAGTTTAGGAGATGGTTCAGGCACAGGCTGCCATCACTGGGGAGGGTGGAGGGCTTACTTAAGGAGATCTGGCCACCCTACCACAATACTGACCCAGCAAGGTCGAGGAACCACAGTCAAACACGTTCATGCACTTGTAGGTATGCATAGAAAACATCCCAAGAAGGAAGTCATTACGAAATAGTCAAGAAGGCCCGGCGTGGTGGCTCACACCTGTAAGCCTAGCACTCTGGGAGGCGGAGGCGGGTGGATGTTAGTTTGAGACCAGCCTGAGCAAGAGCAAGACCCATCTCTACTAAGAATAGAAAGAAATTATCTGGACAACTAAAAATATATAGAAAAAATTAGCCAGGCATGGTGGCGCATGCCTGTAGTCCCAGCTACTCAGGAGGCTGAGGCAGGAGGATCGCTTGAGCCCAGGAGTTTGAGGTTGCTGTGAGCTAGGCTGACGCCATGGCACTCTAGCCCCAGCAAAAGAGTGAGACTCTGTCTCAAAAAAAAAAAAAAGAAAAGAAAAGAAATAGTCAAGAAGACTAAGAGAAATGAACACGCTAGCACACACAGACACAACCGTGCCTGTCTTAGCTCACATGAAAACACACACATATGCACATAACACAACACACGCACACACATGCACACAGCAAAGGAGCAAAGATTGCATAAGGACAACCCACTCAGGTGTATGCAGAAATATTCACATAAAGGCTGGTGCAGAGGACCCCAAAGTACGAAGGCAAGAGGTTAGCAGCCATCCAGATTTGCCCTTTGTTGAATGGATCAAATAACACAATGAGAAGAACATTTTAAATTGTGAGGCATTATACAAATGTTACAATAATGGTAATTACTCAACTTAGACAGAATTGACATATTTCCATAACTGCCTCAAAGAAAGCTGCTTATGGACATAGAATTTAACAACTTTTGAGCACTCACGTGTTTTAGGCACCCAGCTGAAGGCGCAGTTGTGAGTACTGAGGTTAGTTTCCGTGTGTGTGTGCTGCGTGAAGGAGCAAGCCAGTTACAGCTGACACTGCAGCCTTGGGGGCTTTTACCTTCTGGCATGCGGAGGGGAGGGGACCATGACAAGGAGAACTGTTTTTTTTTTTTTTTTTCTTTGTTTGCGCTTAGACAATGAGGCAGAACCAGGAGAACTCTCTTGAGGGTCCTAAGAAAACTAAAGCCCAAGTAGGGCCGGGCCTATAATCTTAGCACTTTGGGACGCTGAGGCAGGAGGATCGCTTGAGGTCAGGAGTTGGAGGTTGCAGTGAGCTGCGATCACACCATTGCACTCTAGCCCCGACAGAGCGAGACCCTGTCTCAAAAAAAAGAAAGAAAGAAAGGAAGGAAGGAAGGAAAGAGAGAGAAAGAGAGAAAGAAAGAACGAAAGAAAAAGAAAGAAAGAAACAAAACTAAAGACCAAGTGTTAAGGGGGACCCAAAAGAGCTAATGTTCACATCTGTCTAATCAATCAGGGACTGCTTCATGGAAGAGTGGTATTTGAGATGACCTTGAATAGTAGGTGGGATATGACAAATTCAGATGTGGAGGATGACTGTAAGAATGGAATCAACAAAGGCCTTGAGCTGGAAAAGTACAGGATGTGTTTGGGGAATCACAAGAAAAACAATGTCAGAGTAAGTTTCCCGTAAAGGAGGAGTGGTAGGAAGAATGGCTAAAGAGTTGGGCAGAATGGGGCCAGCTCAGAGGCCAGGCCTGGAGCCTTGGTTTGACTCTAGACCATGAAGCTTGTGGGTTGCAGCATGAAATAAAAGGAGGAAAATTCAAGCCAGAAACTGACTGAGATAAGGAGTATTCCCTGGATGGGAAAAGACTGAGGCAAAGGACAGGAGGCTATTGGAAGGGCCCAGGTAGGAGGTGACAATGGCCTGAGAAGATGGCCATAAGGGACATTCCTAGCATGAGATCACCAGAATTTGGCAATGAGATGGATATCACTGGGGAGGGGAGCATGGGGAAAGGAGAGTTGCTGACAGCAAGAGGATGAAAAGATCAGAGATGACTCCAGGGATTTGAAATGCATCTGGCTCAGATGTAAACACCACATTAAGCCTGGGGCACAAAGTAAATGCACGCGCTCGACCTCTGCCTTTGGGGGCTGTGTTACACCCGTCTGTGTCCTCCACAGAATCCAGCACGGCACCTTGCAGGCAATAGTTGCTTGATAATCTTGTTAAGTGAAAGATGAAAACGCTGAATTATAAATGCACACATGGTACATTACCACACTGGCTGGGTCATCCCAAGCTTTGGAGACGTGGGTATGTTCCTCCAAACTGCCTGTACAAATTTGCAACGTCTTTAGAAAAGCTAGCAAAATTCTTACATAGACACCAAACGAGAAACATTTAAGGGCATTTTTCAACCAAGAATGTGTAGGAACGCAAATAAGAGGACAGCCCCATAATTGGGCCAGAAATAGATACATTGTTACTACATGTGCAATTGCTTCCTGGGCCTGTATGTCACTTTATTTTACACCCACTACTCCTGTCACGAGACCCCTTCTGCATTATACACCTCTTCTGGGCAGGCATAAAGCATACCTCCTCCACAAACAAAGGCATGTCACTTCCCCCGCCTGCCTTTCACACCTGCCAACATTTGCCTCGAGCAGGGGGCCGCAGGTCCACCTACACCCTCACTCCATGGCGACTGGGCAACTCGCAGGCTACACAACAACCAGCTAAGTCGGTGGCTGCTTACACAGGTGGATGGACCCTCACTCTCACACCGACGTAAGTTGGGAAAATGGGGAGATAGTCATGATGGAAGAGAACTGCGTGGTGGGAGAGACGGGGAGGCACCCAAGGTCAGGAATGCATAACTTGTTTATGATGGAAAATTTCTCCAGGGCATTAGGCAGGAAAGAGAAATGAAGGGGATGTTGGGATCTTGTTTCGCCACTACCTCCCACATCTGGAATCTGGGCCTCCAGCTGGGTCTAGTTATCCTCACCATCCTCCCGGCATGGAGAGAACTTTCTTTGTGGCAAGACTAGAATGGGACAAAGACAAGAGCCAGAGAAGCCAGACCGCTCTCCATTCCTTCCCAACCAATCCTATCCCCATCGCTGCTTCCCTCAGAGCCCCAGGGCTCGGCCCCTGCCCCTCCCTGCCACACAGGAAGCAGGGAAAGGTTGAGAGTGAATCATTAAGCTGATGAGGGGGTGTGGGGGTGCAGGCTGGGGGATGAGTTAGGGCCAGAAAGTGCCAGGGGCTAAGACCAGCAGCTGGACCGGTTCCCACTCCCCCAATCCTAGAGAAGCAGGCCCTCAGCCTCTTTCTCCTGGCACTGGCTTCCTGCCTTCCCCACCATCTCTGTGTCCTTCATTTCCCTGTGTGACCTGTTCTCTTGACCCCCCACCACCACTGACCTGTTTCTCAGTCCCTTGTTTGTTTTCTCCATAACACATATCACACTGGGGAAGCATTTTAGGTCTTTGTTTACTTTTTGCTGCTGTTTGTCGTCCTGCGGGAATGCAATCTCCATGAGTGTACAGGGCCACCCCTGCCTTTCCCTCATCAGACCCGTGTGGTATCTCCACTACTTGGCCTGTCACCCAGTGGGGCTCAATGAATATTCTTCAATCCATCTTCCCCGAGGAGCTAACCTCATCCCCGAGACGTCTGTTTATCCAGCCGCGTGCCCTCAGCAGCGCAAGCTTTGTCTACAAAGAGGAGGCTGGGGCGCTCAGCTGATCTGCCACGGTCTGCACAGGAGCAACTGTGCGGTGCCGGTGACGACAGCACGGTCCTGGCCTGCGCCCTTCGCAGTCCCCGACACAGGAGTGAGCCAGGCCTGCTGCCCTGCCTGGGGTGCTGCTGCCTTGCCCACCACAGGCCAGATGGGGGTGGCGGGAGTGGGCAGTGGCAGAGGCAGAATGGGCAGGGGAAAGGGAGACAGATTTGGAAGTGGGAGCTTCTGAGAAAGGGAAGCAGGGTGGAGGGGACAGAACCATGGTCCTGGGGTCAGGGAATGACAACTGAAAGCCCTTAGCTCTACCTGGCGTTCAGTAGATACTCCATCACCATTTTTTGACTTGAGATAGAAACTAAACACAGAGTGGCAAAAAGAGCATGTTGTAGTCTGGTGGTGTAACAGGAAACTGGGTTTAAATTCCAGCTCTGCTACTTATTAACTAGGCAATGTTGGGCCACTTAACTTGTCTGAAAATCTGTTTCCTTAATCAATAAATGGGCAAATTGGCTTTGAGGTTATTGCAAGGATTAAGAATATAAATGTACTGTTCCTAGGCACATAGGAGGTGCTTCTTGCACGGGGGCTGGGAAGAGGGGCTGCGCTGGAGCAGGAAGGGCAGCAGTGAGCCCCCCCAGGAGTAGGGGCCAGAAGGAGAAAATAGCCTCCAAGTGCTAGATCACCAGGAGATACATTTCTCCTTCTCTTTTCATCCTCTCTTCCTTCCCTCTCTGTCTCAGGCAGTTTGGTGGCTCTTTCTTTTCCCTAGAGAAGTAGAGACTTCTGCATTTCTAGTTCTTGTTCAGCCAATGAGAGTGGTTTTTAAACACCCTCCCCACCTCCCCCCCACTCATTTTAGCTGGAACAATTCTCCGAGGCATGGGGGGAGGTGGGGTAGGGTGGTAAGGTCTAGGCAGCAAGTTAATAAATGACCCCTAACGATGCTCATTTAGGCTTTAGGAGAGCCAAGATCAGGCCCTGGCAGCTTCCCCTGACGTAAAACCATGGCGAGAGTGCCCAGAGTCCCAAGGCAAG